CATTTGTACAAAAACTAATTTTAGGAAATAGCATGTGCTAGATTTTTGGCCACACATTGTTATGTAAGGGATAATTTAGATGAAAAAAAAAAAAAAAAAAAAGTGCACATGTCAAAGGTTCTCCTGCAAAAGTTGTAAAGTGCATTTTAAATAATTGTTTTACTAATCTTTTGTTGTGCTTTAAAAAAATGACAACATACTGAAGTACATGTGAAGTACTTGATTATAATCTGAACTATAGTGTTATTTGATTTTAAATGTACTAAATTGCAACTTCATAATTACGAATAAATTTAAATATATGACATACATGTTTCAATAGAAATTACATTAAAATATATTTTAGTTTACAACAAATGCTTGTCAGTGCATTCAGCATTGATACACTTTAACCATATTTCAAAGACAATATAATTATGAAATTGCATATAAAGATGTGCTGAAGTCCTACGTAAGTGGGTCAAAAATTCTCTTAAGTTCAACTAATAATGTTTAATATGAATTTTAATGATAATACATTTTCATAATTTTGCAAATAACATGCAATTAAGTGTGTGAAAACTTTATATTCAGTTCACACTAGAGTATGTTCTTGTAAAGCATATTATTTCAATAATAAGTACTTTTTTTTAAAGTATGCTAAAATGTACTTGATTTATCACAAGGAACAAGTCACATGAGTAACTTTTTTGAAGTGCTTTTTTGAAGCTGAACAGACCCATTCACTTAGACTGATGGGGGTAAAAAGCAGCCAGGACATTCTGCACAATAACTCCTTTTATATTCCACTGAAAAAAATATGATTTTTAAAGGTTTGGAAAGAAATGATGACCAAACATAATTTTCTTGGTGAACTATTTCTTTAAATTGGCAAATGTGTGCTTGCTTTGAGAGAAAATCAGCTATTGGACAGTTTTTTTCAAGAAAGTGGGATTAGAATTGTGCTTTAAATAGACCTTGATGATGATGATGATTAGTGGTGTAAAAAAAAAAAATCAGGTTTGTTGCATGTCTGAGAAGTTTACTGATGAGATTGTTTGGTATGCAAAGCACATCCGATCTCTGCAAGCTGCCATTGAATCATGTGTCCTGCATATGACCTCTTACCTCTTTGGGCTCTGTAAATGTGAATGCCGTCTGAAAATATAATTATTCTCTCTTTCTCTCCAGCTGCAAAAAGGAAGCATGAAGTTGGAGCCTCTCTCTGCATCACTTGTCCGCTCTGTTACCGCGGTCACCGCCCAGGCCTCTGTTGCCACGGTGACAAGTGCTTCCCCATCAATGACCGCAGATGTTCGCATGGGGATCTCCATGGCTCCACCCACCACTCAGGCCTCACCCAATCAGGCGGTCACTGCTCAGCTTCCGGCCTATGAGAAAGGAGTTCGATACTTCAGTCTTACAGAGAGTGGGGAAAAACCCACACCTGATGTTCAGTCCCCGCCCCCTGCAGAGCAGCCCAGCCAATCGGTGTACGGCAAGGGTGTGGCTGACGAGAGTGGGCGGAGGGGAAGACTAGGGTATTTAGGCAGAGAGGAGAGAGACACAGAGCTCCCCAGTGTGACTTCCCTTCCGTGCACACATGCACTCAGACACACACCCCCTCACGGCAGGGGAGACGCAGAGCTGAGCGGCCCACGGGAGAGGGAAAAAGAGAGTACACCCGTCTCGCAGGGAGGCTACCTCTCTCCAGACGCCCATCAGACGGCAAGAGGAAGCGGTACCAGAACCATCGTCTCAGGTAAGGATAGATGGAACGAAAAAGAAAAGGGGTTTAGATGGTGTGCAAACCAATCAACTGTGTCTATTGTCTCTGTTCACAAAATCACACACATGCTGCACGTCTGCACTGATTGGGTTAACCGGCCTCCAGCCTACATGCTGCTCGAGTCGAATGTGATTAGCATAATTTATCATATATCAAGCGTGCTGCTCTCTTTGTCTGTCACGTAAAACTAATGATGCCGAAATGAATTGGGCTGAAGTGGCACCGTGGCTTTTGTTTGCGCTCCCCGCCAAAGCTGTTACTATCCATTTGCTTGGAAGCAATAAAAAAAGTGTGTGAATTGTTTCGTAGTAAAGAGGGAAATGAATGAAAGACAGGAGCAGTAAGATGGCTGGAAGTGTGTCTCAGCGCACACTGATACAGACATGCTCTCACCCTACAGGAAAAAAAACACAGCGGGTTATTAGGTTCACGTCTGCCACATGTTAAAGGACAGCCATGATAGCAGAATGCGACAGTGGCTTTCACAGGATAAAGGGTGTTTTTGATGTGCATGTGTGTGTTTTGTGTGTCAATGGTGCTTTAGGCTGCTGTCTGTTCATTTGTCAGATATTGATTGGGCTCTGTGATAAACATGACTCTGTGTGTGTGTAATGCATTTCTAGATTTTTATGAATTTTTGTCTGTATCTAGTGCATTGAGTAGCTGTGGCTACACACGTTTACCCCACCCCAATACCCTCAAAAAAGGGTATTGTGGCTACCCCCCCCCCCCAATACCCTAAAAAAAGATATATATATATATTTATTTTATCTTATTTTTAATGGTCATGACTGTAATTCTCATTTTTAAAAGATGATTTTCATTAGATACTGAAATTTGTAATTTTTCACTGTATTAAATTACAAAATATTGAAGTACAATAAAAAATTTAAATAATTCTGTCAAGGATGTTATGTCCAATTCCTAATTTCACCTACTTCACCATAAAAATATTTTATTTTATTTTATTTTATTCTCATTGCGATAATTCCCTTCTTTCAGTGATGTTTCTCATTAAATTCTCAAACTTATAAAACATTTACTGTATTAAAGTACAGTGTACAAAGTACAATTTTGAAGTACAATGTTTTTTTATTCAAGTAAATCAGCATAGTGTAAAAATAATGTATGCCATTGCATTTAAAGGTAGTACAACAAATACTACCATGATGTAAGACAAAATACATTATAATTTATGAAATTAAATTATGTTTCGCATTACATGGAGATTTAGGGTTGTTCAATTAAAATTCACAAAAAGATTGTCACAATACAAAAGTCCCAAAAATATGCTTAATATTTCTTCATGCAACTTATATTTCTTTCTTTCTTTTTGTGGAGAAATAGACATGTTTCTGACAGCTTTTGTGGGATTTACCCTTTAAGTCTCTTTGTATGTGTATTTGCTCTCAATGTGTTTCTCCAGATGTCTCTGAACCCAGCGTTCCTGTGAGGACGGTGAGCACGGCTGCGGCCTCGTCCAGAAGTTCTTCACAAATCTCTCACTCGGTCACTTACCTCCAGCAAACCCAGTCCTACACATCTCCGCAACCTCAACCAAAACCAGCGCAGCACCCTCAAATCTACACACCGACCCACGCTCGACCCCAAACACAACCCTACAGCCCACCGACACTGCCACAGACACAGGCCAAACCACAAACACACCTCATTTCTGACTCTCAACCTCACATCCACGTTGACTCTCAGGCTCCTCCACGGCAAACCCAGCTGTACCCTGAACCCCAGCCACAGGCGCCACCCAGAGTCCCGCCACAGAAGCAGCCCAAACCGCAATCCTTCCTTCCACCCGAGTCTCATGCCTACATTCACCCTCAGCCCAAGATACCTCCTCAAACCCAGCCAAAACCCCAGTGCTTCATACCACCTCAAACACAGCCCCAAGAAGAGATCCTGGGAAAATACGGCCCATCTGGACCCATCGTCTCCAAAGACCAAAAGCCAGAGATCCACGAAGATCCAGAGGCCATGACATCCATATCAATCAAAGAGAGGTGTGTGCTGGTTACTTCACTTTTATACGGAGCCCTGCACATGACATGCAAGAAGAAGAAAAAAAATCGTGGGCACGATTTATTAATTAGTTCCCTCAATTTACTAGATCGTGTGCACGATTTAATAATTTGTTCCCTTGTTTTAACTAAATCGTATGCATGATTTATTAATTCGTTCCCTAGATTTACTAGATCGTGCGCATGATTTAATAATTCGTTCCCTCGTTTTAAGTAAATCGTATGCATTATTTATTAATTTGTTCCCTCGATTTACTAGATCGTGCGCACGATTTAATAATTCGTTCCCTCGTTTTAACTAAATCGTATGCATGATTTATTAATTAGTTCCCTCGATTTACTAGATTGTGCGCACGATTTAATAATTCGTTCCCTCATTTTAAGTAAATCATGCGCTCGTTATAATAATTTGTGCCCTCGTTCTAGGTATATAGTGCAAACAAAATAATAATTAGTTGTACTTCCTGTCCGCCTATGCATTCGTAAATCGAGGGAACGAATTAATAAATCGTGCGCACGATTTACTTAAAATGAGGGAACGAATTATGAAATCATGTGCATGATCTAGTAAATCGAGGGAACGAATTTAATAAATCGTGCCCACGATTTATTAATTTTTTTCTTGCATGTCATGTGCGGGGCTCCGTACTTTTACACAGTCTGAGTATACAGAAAATAATCACATTTATAGTAATTCACACAAAATATGCCATATTAGCATAAGACTGTTCGGATTCTGGAAGTATTCATCCCTATAAAGAAATAAATTTTTGATTTAGTAAACATTTAAAGGTTTTAAAATGACCTTCCAGGACTCAGCAATAACCTATAAGTATGTATTTTTATTTGTCTTACCAAACTTGTCTCTGGCTACAAAGTAACATATAATTTGTTATTAAAAATATATTTTTTTAAAAATGAAATAAAAAATTTAAATAAATACAATACTGTTCAAAAGTTTGGGGTCATTACATTTTTATTTTATTTTTAAAGAAGTCTCTTTTACTCATCAAGGCTGCATTTATTTGATCAAAATTACAGTAAAAACATTATCTTTGTAAAATATTATTACAATTTAAAGTAGCTTGTTTCTATTTCAGTATAATTTAAAATATAATTTATTCCTGTGATGCAAAGCTGAATTTTCTGCGTCATTACTCTAGTCTTCAGTGTCACATGATCCTTCAGAAATCTAATATGAAAAGTCTGTTATAATATGAAATTCTAATATGCTGATTTGCTGCTCAAGAAACATTTATTATTATGAGTGTTGAAAACATCTGTGCTGCTTAATATTTTTGTGCAAACTGATACATTTTTTATGATACTTTTGAAAGGAGAAATTTCAAAAGAAGAGAAATTTAGATAATAATAATAATAGAATAAATAATTGAAATCTTGAAACAGAACATTATACAGTAAACATCTGTTAAAATCAGACTCAAGGCATATTGCGGTGTAAGAAACAATGGCACATGCGTTGGAGCGTGCTGATGGCTTTAGATGTTGCAGGGTGACTGAAGCTGTTCTCTTTCCGTCTCGTCTTATAAATGAAATTGGGTCATCTCTGCTCTCGGTGAGCGCTGATAACACGGACAGCACTATTTTAGATCTCCCAGCCTTCCCCGCAGGGCCGGAGGAAATGAGTACAGACGGAGAGATAGAGAGAACAAACCATGACAAAGTAGCACGAGAAAGCTGAATTGGGAAGAATTTTGCATGCTGTATTATTTGGTGGGATTTCTGAATGTTTTGTACAACAAACCGCATCCCCCAAATTATTTTCAGTTGTCATTTCTTTCATTTTATGTTACAGTACAGTTTTTTATCTGCATGAGTTTCACATCTACAATGTAAATGTCTTCTGTTCAAAATGGAGTGAAGCATTAGATACTTTTTTCTCAGGTTGGCAATGTTGAAGAAAAGTGGAGAGGACGATTGGAAAAACAGGATCAATAAGAAACAGGAAGTTATACAGGAAGTGGTGTCTGTAAGCGAGAAGAGTAGTCAAATAATGGAGGAGCAAGGCTTTAATAAAAAGGTAAGAATCTGTAGCCTAGCCACTTAAAATCTAAAAAGGCATCACGGGTTATTCAAGTTTTTTTTATTTTTATAAAGTCATAAAAGTATTGCAGTTGTCTTATGTGTCTCCACCACCTACCCACTATTGTTACAGTTCCTAGGTTTCTGGGTGCAAGTAATAACCAGTGTGATGTTTATAAATAGACCGTGGTGTCTATGATGTGATGATCTTAATTAACTTTTTACATTCATATGAAATATTAATCTGTAACTGCAGAAGTTTTCACGAAGTTGCTGCTATTTTCCATATAATAACATTCATGGGTGTAAAAAGTACTGGAAAATTGTACTTGGGTTCAAGTACAAATACTGAAAAAATTTTACTCAATTAAAAAGTAACTAGCTAAAAAAAAAATACAAAAAAGTATCCACGTGTAATTGTACTTAAGTATTTAAAAGCAAAATGTAAATGCCTTTCTTAGCTTTCTAAATGGATTTCTGACAAGAGACTGTAGAGATTTTCTCATTTTAGTATTTTTGATACATAATTGTACTTAAGTATTTAAAAGCAAAATGTAAATGCCTTTCTTAGCTTTCTAAATGGATTTTTGACAAGAGACTGTAGATATTTTCTCATTTTAGTATTTTTGATACAAAAATATTAAACAAACCTGTCATAAATCACTATTTTGTTTGGGTTCCTCATTGACTGAATGGATTGGCTTGTTAATCACAAGAAATAAATGCCGTTTTCACTGAGGAAAGATTTAAGTCCTGGTGACATATTTATTTTGCTCTTTTAAGTCTGCATGAAATTGTATTTTTGTTTTAATTTTTTTTGTAAAAGTAAGGTAAGTATTCAGTTTTAGATCTCTTGTAAAGTATAATTTCTCCAAAATAATTAAGTATAGTAGTGAAGTACTAGTAGTATTATTTCCATATGGACTTGTATAGTACACAAGTGATATGAACTAGTTTTATGCTGCTTTTTTATTTGGATCTTGACATGAAAAAAATGGCCAGGATATTCTTTAAAAAATCACACTTTGTGTTCCTCTGAAGAAAGAAAGTGCTTAAGGTGAGTAAATGATGGGAATTCAATTTTCATTTTTGGTGAGCTATCCCCAGTCAAAACTGTGAATGAGATGTGTTATTCTAATTTGTGAATAGTAACGCATTCATTTACTCTCGTAGGCGAAGCTGTGAATCGACTGCCTAGACCTGAAACCTGTACTTTACACAGTCTGAATCATTTCACAGCGTGGTGTAGTAAAATACATGGTATTCATCTTTTCAGACCCTGTGTAATTTTCAGTGTTCACGGAGTTTTATATAGTAACTTGTGCGTTCCTGAGTTATTGTGCTACTCTCAATTCAGCAAGCGCAAAGCATAAAGGAATGAAGTGTTTTCAGTTTATCCTAAGATAAAGGCCAGGTCTTGCACACCGAATAGCTTTCATGTAGCATTTTTCCAGTCTCAACTCTACACACGCGTCTCCTGTGTGTTTAGGACGAGACCGTTATCAGTGAGTTCACGTCATCTGAGCTGCTCTGGGTAAGCGCCAACATCAGTGTCTGTCTTAGACAATTTTGGCTTTAGCTGCAAGATGATTGGCTGGCCTGCTAGTGCAAACTGCAGTTCGATTGGCTGTTTCTTAAAGATCTGACACACTGTTTGCCTTGTATTCTAAATTAACCTTATTTTACAGTTTGTTAGTTTATTAAAATATTTTACACATTTCAGTTGGTAACACTTTACAGTAAGGTTTCATTTAACATAACACTTCTACAGCATTTAATATTTTTTGTTATTTTGACATTTACATTTTTCAAATTAAAAGTTGTTTAGTTTACAGTGTATTAACTTTTAATACATTGTATTTTTATTAGCTGAACATGAACCATATTAATGATGTTGTAGAAATACATTGCTTATTGTTACCTGCATTAACTATTGTTAACAAATAAGACCTTATTTGGAAAGTGTTACTTTTCTGTTTGTTTTCAGGTGGCTGTAGTAAGTTAATATTTGCATTTCTTTAAAACCTAATGTTTAGGAACGTGCTGTAATATCTCACTTAACATTATAGATGAAACGCCTTGCTTTTCTAGATGTACCAGATCTGTGCTTCTCAACTGATGAGTCACAACTCGAAAATAAGTGACTGGTCTGTTCTGATATCACTATGGACAGCAGAGATGAATGCAAATTATGATTAATAAAATGTAGCTAACCAAGAACATGAAAACTTTACGATATATACAAACCAAAATGGTCAGTTTATGTTATCAGCTTATCTCATATTAATAATTTTGTGTATTTTTGAGTCTCTGGGGTACATTAAAATATTGTTAGGTTTCAATTTGAGATTTTTGTACAATAACAAATGTTGGCACTGTGTTAGTCACCACTTGATATCCAATGCAAAATTTGTGTCCTGAAGCAAATCCAGTTGAGAACCACTGGTCCAGACTTTCCTTTTGGCCATTTATCCCTCATTCATTCTCTGACATCTGTGAATTATGTTCCTCTTCCATTCATATCTATGCCCTGTAATCATTGTCTCTAGCTCTTTCGTTTACTCTTGTCTTCTATCTACTTCCTGTTTCGTCCTTCTCCTGTCTGTAGGAGCCTGTCTTTTCCTCCACCTACTCTCCTCCTCCTCTTCCATCTACCCCAAAATGCCAATATGTAGAACAACAAGGCCAGGTAAGAGAGCGTTTGCATTTTGGAACCATTTCATTTCTAACATAACTCTATGAAAGGTCTGAATGTCCTCTTGGTTTGTCAGTTCCATCTTTCAGCCGACAGATAATCTGTATTAGTCTAGAATGTTTGGTGGTTCAGATCATTAGGTTTTGTCAGATGAGATAGAAGTTGCTTTTTTCTTGTTGATTTGACTCTAGTGAATCTAGTTCATGATTATTCATGTGTGCATATTTATGTATGTATTCATATATATGTATGCCTTGGAACTAGAAAACTGCAGACAATTATAATTTTGCTGTTACAAATAATATGTAAGTAAATGACTTACTGTATAAACTCTAAGAGAGGCTAAAAGACATCTACATAAATACAAAATATACCTCTGCTTTAATGCACCGAGTAAAAATTGTCTTGTTTGATCTAGTTTATAAAAGTCTCTTATTATTAGTTTATATAATTTATACTTCAGTTCACTGTGAATGATAGCAGATAAGTTTTTTGCTCTAATGGAAACATGCAGCACAGCCAAATTTCTGTAGATTTACTCAGGGCAAATGCATTCATTAAACGAGTGTTGGCGGCATAAATGCATAAATCTAATTTAGATGGAAATGCAGAGCTTTGAGTAAGGATTATAGCATTTTTGGTTTTTGCCGTTGACTAGAAGATTTAATACTGTATGAACAGCATAGAGAATAGTCATATTCAAATGTTTTAAAAGAGTTTTTGACATGGTTTGTACAATTTGAGTTTGCTGATGACCTGCTCATATGAATTATCTGTCCAGTATGTCCAAGTCATTGGACTTTCCTTCCTGTAAACATATCAGAATGATCTGTAGCCATCATATCTGTTTTGTCTCATGTAATCAGAAACTTGAAGAGGGGGAGGGGCAGATGTCCATTGAAGAAAGGAAACAGATGATCTCGACGCGAGAGGAGGCGTGGCAGAGCTCAGGGAAGGGCGTGGCCAATGACTCGGCCCAATACACTGTGGCTGCCAGGATGGTGAAAAAAGGTTAGGATGTGCAAACATGCATGTCAGGGTTATTATCCTTAAGTAAAATGTAAATGCTTTTGCTAAATGTTCATTAGTTTGAGAAAAACTGAGATTAATATATATATATATATATATGCTCCAAAACTAACTAAAATGAAATCAAATCCTGTAAAAGTGCTCTTAAAATAGTAACACTAAAATAAAAAGTATGCATATTGAAGAATTTTATATAAAGTAAAATTTAATTGAAACTAACTTAAACTGAAATGACAAATTAACAATAAAAATAGTTAACTGTATATAAAAATGAAATGTATATAAATATATAAATGCTTGCATACTTAGATACTCAAAGACAAGACATTCCATTTGGGTGTGCGCATCAAATTTACAAAAGTGATTTTATGTACATATGTAAAATGTCTAATTTAATGTAACTTTAGTGAAAATGAAATAATGTTCCATTGTCATTCAGCACAACAGTTATATTTATGTAAAAATGAAACAACATACTTATTCTGACCTGTACTTATTAAAATATATAAAAGAAAAAGTAATCATACTAAATTTTATTATATTTTAAATTATTAAAAGCATTTTGCTGACAAATCTGTAAAACCAAGTGGTTTGAAGGATAGTGGCAAAGATTGGTAGATTTTAAATAACAGTTAATTAGTGTTGTGGGGCTGCACTATGATCCTTAAATGGAGTCTTTTAATGTAATGTGTGTTCTTGTTCTTGTTCTAAATATGCCTGACAAGATTTTTTGGTATATAAACTATTGTTACACTGAATGACATTTTAGTGTCTGTCTTCCGTAAATCATGGTAGTCATTATTTTTTACTCAAAATAAAAATGAAACGGGACACATTGTACTGTAATGTATGGGGGTAAAACAAAATTTAAAGTTGTAGTAGATCTTAAAGTAGATTTTTTTAATTACATAGAATAATAGATAGTGTACTTCTTATCTGTCTGTTTGATTACCTGACTGTCTGTGTCTGTCTGTGTGCGTGCGTGTGTGTGTGTGTCAGGTCTGGCTGCTTCCTCTGCAGTGATCAGCCCTATTCTGTCTCCAGTCTCTGCTAAACTGAAGAGCAGTGTGCCAGCTATCTCTAAACCACGGGAAGGTACGCTAGACAAACACACACTTCATGAAGATATTCCTCTTTAGAAAACCATAACGTTTATGAAAGTTTGTTGTTGCATCGTAATAACTGGGGCAAAAAAAACCTGATGTGCTGCAGAAATTGAGGCCAGAGCAGAAATGGAGTCTGATAAGAAGCTGGAAAAGCTGGAGACGTTTTTGGGGCGTTTGAACAGTAAAGGTGAGTTGGTTGATACAAAATCTGTTCACTTTCTTGTATTTTTTTGTAAGCCGCCCATTATAGAAGTGAAAGTAGAAATCATAATTGCATCATTTGGTGTCAGACTCTTTAAAAAATGAAGCAGTTTTCATTTGCTGTCATGATGAGCTGATAATGGAGCTTTTAATTAAAACATCATGACTGTTTCTTTCAGTGTTGTGAAATGTTTCACATTTCTTTCAATTGCACTGTCATCTCAATATCTTCTTCCCTCTCAGTATCAGGTTTGCAGGAGACGACTTTGACGGTGACAGAGAAAGCTGTGAAGGAAGTGATGCGACTGGATGATGAGATCTTTTCAAAATTTTACCGTCACATGACAGATATTCCCTGCAGCATGAGTAGCAGAATGCATCTGGATGAGGACTTTGATGCCATCTTTGGAAAACAAACGCCAAGGTAAGATTTTGGGTTTCTGTAATATACATACAAGTATTTATATTTATTTTTATATTTAAAAATATTTAAATTAAATTTATTTAATAAAATTAATTTTTTAAAAATCTGATTTATTTTATATTTATATTTGTTTATAAGTTATTTTTCTCTTTTTTTATATAAGGCATAGTGTAGCTTTTCTGTTGCATTAAGCTTTTGGAAAGAACTTTATAGGCTACATGTGTTATTCAGCAGAAATATCTCACTTGAAAGATTGTTGTCTGATCAGTTTGGTCAGTATGATAGATATAATCCAATTCAAGGTCCAAATAATGACATTAATCAATAGCTACCAAAGCGGAGTAAGACACTTTCTTTGAGCTGCTCACAGGAAATTAACTCTAAAGTAGCACTTTTGAAATAAATTAAACTTGATGTTAGTGATTTTACCCATTAGGAGTGACTTTAAACCAATGTTTGGCTCTAAAGTTTCGTTTAAAGTTACTTATTGCACTTTCTCTAACTTTTGGCTTCTCTTTGACTCCCAGGTTGACATCGGCGATGGTGCAGCACAAGCGGGCCGTTCGTCCCTCCCGTAATGTCCAGGCCTCCAGAAACCCCTTAAAGATTCTCGCTGCAAGAGAAGACATCCGACAGGAGTACACCGAGGAGAGACTGAACGTGGGGCAGTTGGAGACCAAGAGAATTAAACAGGAGAAAAGTGAGTCGACAAGCAATGGATGGAAATGTGCTTCAGTTCAGTGTTGTTATTAACTAAAAATATTTTCAGCAATGGACATAAAGCTAAAAATAATATACAAATATTAGATGAAAAACTAAAAAATCCTTCACAAAAATCAGAAACGTTGCCTTGATAAATAACTGAAAAAAGTTTAATTTGAAGTATTAAAATTGCTAAAACTAAAATTGAAATAAAAATAAAATAAAGCGAAATAAAAATATTAAAATAATAAAAATGAATAAAAGTATATCTCAAAACTTATACTAAATCTTAAACCAAAACTTAAACTAAAATTCAAATGAAAACTATAAATATTCAAAATATTAAGTACTGTAATAGTATAGAATACTAATATAAATGTAATAAGAGTAAATAAATAGTACTAAAATAACATTGCTTCAGACATTTTTTTTAAAATTGGGAACAACATATAAACAATGAAGAAAAGAAAAGGGAAGAAAGTGATGTATAACTATTCAAAATAAATAAGTTAAAAGTAGTCTCAAAATACTGCTGTAATTGGTTTCTGCTTTGAACATGTGCATTTACGTGAATTAAATTTTGCTATCAAAATAAGAAGATTAATCAAATATATTTTACTTTCTGTTGTAATAATGTGTTTTTTAATGTGTTTTCCAGTGAGCAAGAGCTCCAGTTTGTCGGACGCAACCCTGGCTGGTTTGGCCAGTAAAGAGAGCTACAGCAGCGTGAGTCTGCGCAGTGTCAGCATCTCAGAGCAGATGACCAATAACAGCGCAGCTCCCTACAAAAAACTCATGCTCATGCAGGTCAAAGGTCAGTCTGAAATACTCTAACACTGTCTCCTAACCAGGCACGATGTGATGAAGTGATGCATGGAAAGTTATTTTCTGTCACATTAAGCTGGAAAGCCATCCTATTGGTCCAAACATCAAATGTGTTCTGATTGGCTTACAGTGAAGACAGAAAAATGACTTAACTAGCCTAATGCCTGGCTAAAATGCAGCGTATTACCCACAGGGGGCGCAAAATATGATATAACTAGAAAAATTTTGACATTTTACTGCAGCAGTATGTTTTTTAGTGTGTGTGTGTGTGTGTGTGTGTTAAACTATATGTGCATGAATGTTGTCCAGGTCGACGTCATGTCCAGACCAGACTAGTGGAGCCTAGAGTGTCCTCTCTAAACAGCGGTGACTGTTTTCTGCTGGTTACACCTGAGCATTGTTTCGTTTGGACTGGAGAGTTTGCAAATGTCATTGAGAGAGCCAAGGTACGACCTGACTGATACTCTGACTTCTTACGCACGTTATTCTTCATATGGTCTTTGTGCTTCACTGCTATATTGTTCCGTTTGACATCCAGGCATCAGAACTGGCCACTTTCATCCAGCTGAACCACGACCTTGGTTGTCGAGCAGCACAGGTAGAGACGATCGAAGAAGGAGTGAACTCACAAAGCCCCGCAGCTGCAGAGTTCTGGAAGATCCTGGGAGGACCAGCCAACTACCAACGTACGTGACCTGAAATCAAAAATAAATATTTATGTACCGTTATCCTAATTGAAATGAATAATATTTGTCCTTCTACTGTGTGTGTGTGTGTGTGTGTGTAATGATTACAGCGGCCGGGTCTCCAGACGAGGATGAGATGTTTGAAAATGCCATTGTGGAGACGAACTGTATTTTCCGTCTTGTGGACGATAAACTGCTTCCTGATGATGATTTCTGGGGAAAAGTGCCTCGTAGTTCACTTTTGGGCTCTAAAGAGGTCCGAAAATAATATTTTGTGACTTTTAGATATTGTGTTAACATCTTCATGCATTATTTCATGTTTTCATTAAATGTGAAACATTTTAGCATTCTTTGCAATTTGCGGTTACTGTATATTTACTATTATAATGAACTAATTTAATAATAATCATAAATGTATATTATTCTGTTTTGCTAGTTTTATTATTATTAAATATAATCAAATATTCCCCCCATTTAGGACAACCACGTTTTCATCTGAATATACCTATGTCTGCATTTAGACGGGATCTAATTTTTTTTGTAACTTGCACCTGACACATATTATATATTTTGTGTATTAATGTATTTGTGCAGTATTTTATGTTTGCATTGGCACTGGGGTTGAAATAGTTTAAAATTCTGAATTGAATTTTGTGGTAGCTGACTGTATGTTTATCATTATATTTTACTTGATATAATTGGGTGAATTAAACATCACATTATCACATTCTCAAAGGTTTTTATACTCTTCTATTTTGCATATTTTATTATATTTAATAATGATACAACTTTTTCCCCATTTAGGAAAACCACATCTAAATTTATGTCTGCGTTTACACTGGCTCTACAAATCTGATTTTGAAACATACGGGATATTTTGTATTAACATCTTGTGCGTTATTTTATGCTGGCATTGGCACTGTTGTTAAATATGAAAAAGCTTATTCTCTATTCTCAATTGTTTTGTAGTTGCATATTTTGCATATTTTTACATTTAATAAAAGATGTTTTCATTTGAATATATGTGAATAATGACTATATTTGTTTTTCTTGGCTCTCTTTTTCATGTTAGGTGGTAGTGTTTGATTTCGGTAGTGAAGTGTACGTGTGGCATGGTAAAGAGGTCACACTGGCACAGAGGAAGGTGGCGTTTCAGCTGGCCAAGCATCTTTGGAACGGGACCTTTGATTATACCAACTGTGACATCAACCCTCTGGACCCTGGAGGACACAACACACTCATACCAAGGTGCTCACACACGTTTCAGGGGTTTACCTAAATTGATTATATTAAGTTTCACACACACTAATTATCCACTTAACTTTGAGAATCTCAATGCAAAGTTGTTTGTGTGGTAATCTTTTTAGGAAAGGTCAAGGTCGTCCGGACTGGGCCATATTTGGCAGACTGACCGAACATAATGAAACATGTCTTTTTAAAGAGAAGTTCCTGGACTGGAGAGATGCTTCTAGACTGTCACCTAAAGAGGTCATCGAACACCCCTTCCAGCAGAAGGTGCGTCGCTGTGTGTGTCAGTATATCTGCTGAAAATCTGCAAAACGGAAAGGGAAAAAAATCCTTTGATTTGTATTATTGGGGATGGGAATTATGAGCAATGTAATGATTGCAATAATGATTCCCCTTCATAACTGGTTCTAAACATACACTATTTTTAAGTGTTTTTGAAAGGAATCTACTGTTCACTAAGGCTGCATTTATTTGATCAAAAATGCAGTAAAAGCAGTCATATTATGAACTATTATCACAATATAAAATAATTGCGTTCTATTTGAATATATTTTAAAATGTCATTTATTGCTGTGATGTCAAAGCTGAATTTTCAGCATCATTACAATCTTCAGTGTCACATGGTCCTTCAGAAATCATTCTAATATGCTGATTTGCTGCTCAAGAAACATTTCTTATCAATGTTGAAAACAGTTGTCCTGCTTAATGTTTTTGTGGAAACTGATACATTTTTTCAGGATTCTTTGATGAACAAAGTTAAAAAGAACAGTATTTATTTGAAATGGAATTCTTTTCTAACATTATAAATTCTTGTCTTTTCTGTCACTTTTGATTAATTTAATGCATCTTTGCTATTTCTCATTTAAAAAAAAGTTATACTGACTTCAAACTTTTGAACATTAGTGTGTCTAAGAAAGAAAACTAAACTATAATATTAAACATATAAACACAATAGTAATCGCAATATACAACGATGCTCAAAATATTACATTGAAAAAGGAAGTTCTTGATTCCCATCTATTCTTTTAGTGTTCTTTTGATCTGAGCACAACTTTTTTCCCCCCCTTTTTTTCCCATTTTCTTATTCTCTTCTTTCCATCTCAGGAGTCTCCAGGCACAGATTCTCGTTCTGAGTGCCAGGCATACAGCGCCTCTCTGATGCTGCCGGTCCTGCATTCACCCATCAGCACAGTTCTGGATGGTCAGAATGTGGGTCGAGGACACGGACCGGTTGAGAACAGCTTGGGCGACTGCATGCGCTCTCTGGAGATCAGCACCGTTTCGGTTGACGTCTGGCATATCCTGGAGTTTGACTACAGCCGACTGCCAAAGCAGAGCATCGGCCAGTTTCACGAGGGAGACGCTTATGTAGTGAAATGGAAGTACATGGTGAGCGCGGCAGGTTAGTAACGGCACTGGAACAAATAAACTTGCCTTCATTCAAATGCTATAGGTGCTTATGTACATCATGCAGAAAAATACAGACCTGTTTGTTTAGTGGAATAGGATGTTTTTGATTAATTGCTGTTGTTGTCTTTTATTGTGCTGTTCCGTATCATTTTTTATTTTAGTGTGCACAGGAAAAAATTTAATTTTTATGAAAAAAAATGCCATTACACTTAGTTAGGACACTATTTTGAATTAAATTATACGGTAAGTGGACTAAACGGGAAAAATAAAAAGTATGCAATACATCTCCTTTATATATGCTGGTATAAAGATGTGTGTCCGTGTGCAGTGGGCAGCAGGCAGAAGCCGGATCAGGTGCGCAGTGCGGGTCCCGGCAGGGAGAAGTGCTGCTATTTCTTCTGGCAGGGCAGAAACGCAACGGTCAGTGAGAAAGGAACGTCTGCACTCATGACTGTTGAACTGGATGAAGAGAGAGGAGCACAGGTAAGATGAGATACTGGACTAAACACACTTGACTGCTTTCTGCTTCTCTCATTTGCTCACTCACTGCTTCTGTGACTCATATTCAGATGCAGGTCCAGCAGGGGAAGGAGCCGCCCTGTTTCCTGCAGTGTTTCAACGGGGGGATGATTGTGCATTCTGGGAAGAGAGAAGAAGATGAGGAGAACATTCAGAGTAAGAGTCTAGCGTATTTGCAACACTCCTGTTTAGTTCATATTTTGGGTATGTTAGGAAAAATGATGGGTAGTAACTGCTCCGTATAATCTGGATGATGTAATCAGATTCCAAAAAATAAGTATTTTAATTAGATTATATTACATTTTAAAATACTCATAATAAGACTACAGTTGCTTGATTGCATATTATTCACAAAATTGCAGTAAATTATTCATAATTTATTGAATCTCTAATGTTGATTAAGAGTCACATGACATGCTGGTAAACAAATAAAATATTTATTAATGTGCAAGTGTTTTATTTTGATTCTATTTTTTATGATATACTGCATATTGTTCATAGTATGTGCATTTCTGTGCACATGGATTATCTTACTACTTTTGCCAAAATGTGCAAATATAACCAGAGCACATAGTGTAGCACAGTGTGTATCCCACAATGCGATGCCTTGTCACATGTGGACCAGAAGCATTTTTTTTTTTACACCATATTGGATTAAAAATACAAAAACAGCCATATTTGTCATATATAACTTGCATGTAATGTGCTCATGGGAGAGTAATACGATAACATTTTATTGTTTGAAGCATTTGGTCGTGTGAAGAGTTTCAAGTACTTTATTAAAATAGTGTACTGTGCAAGAAGCTGTATGCCAGCATATTCATATTTGACTGTTTGTCCTGTGTTTCAGATGATTGGCGTCTGTACTGTGCGCGTGGTGAGGTGCCTGTAGAGGGCCATCTGCTGGAAGTGGCGTGTCACTGCAGCAGTCTGCGATCACGCACATCAATGGTCCTTCTGAATGTCAACAAAGCCCTCATCTATCTGTGGCACGGCTGTAAAACCCAAACACACACACGGCATGTCGCTCGAACCGCCGCAGAGAAGATCAAAGAACAGTGAGTCATGCATTTTTTTTATGCATAACTTAGTTCCCTTGATGTAATTTACATTTACACATTTATACTTAATACTATAAAATTGAGTTCAGAGCATACGCTAATGTTCAAAAGTTTGGGGTTCAGAAAGATGAAAAAAAAAAACATTTTGCATTGGAAGTTTTTATGATTGAAATCTGACTCATATTTGTGTTTTCAAGACGGCCACTGGAGGCGGGACTTCACAGCAGCTGTAATGTGCCTATTCATGAATGTGAGGAAGGTGGCGAGCCAGTGGAATTCTGGGAAGCATTAGGCAGGAAGGACCGCAAGGCCTACGACTGCATGCTTCAAGGTACAACACACCGGTGGAGAGTGGAGATGCATGATTTTGCATGTTTGTTGTGCACCTGTATGTTCCTCACTCTGAGATCTCTCTGAAAATAATGCACCATTAGCATACATTAGAAAAATCTTACATCATAATTATGACAAACTAATACATAATAAATCATAATTATGATAAACTAATACATAACATAAGTCAAAATTATGAGATAAAAAGTAGAAATTATGATGAAAATTAAAATCAAAATTGAAGTCAAAATGTACATTTGTTTATTTCCAATTTGACTTTTTTGTCTTAATTTGGACTATTCTCAGAATTTTTGCATCTTTTTGACTTTTTTATCTCATAATTTCATTTTTTTTTATGTTTTTAACTTTTTATCTCATAATTGCGACTTTTTAATCTGATAATAATGATTTACCAAAGCATGCTTTTTTTCTTATGTGGTGGAAATGGGCTTCAATATGTTCACAAGTCATAATGCAAATGAATATCATCAAGAATTGATGAGCTATTATCAGTCAGACTCAAACAAATGATTTTATCACAACAATCTTTTTTTCTCTGCTTCATCTAACTTTTTTTTCTGTTTTTATTTCAATATTTCTCACTTTTTTCAGACCCTGGCAAGTTCAACTTCACGCCGCGTCTGTTCCAGCTCAGTAGTTCTTCGGGTGAGTTTGTGGCGCAGGAGTTTTTCAACCCATCCAGAGCTGCAGACCTTGTTTGTTCCCTAGCGTTCCTGCAGGAGGATCTGTACTCTGCCCCTCAGCCAGGTAAAAAAAGAAATGACACATGAACTCCTTTCTCTCAGGCTGGAAACAATGAGTCATAAATAATTATGCATGTTTTTCTCCCTCTCTGTCTATTTCTAGCTCTGTTCCTAGTGGATAACTATCATGAAGTTTACCTGTGGCAGGGCTGGTGGCCGCAGGATACTGAGAGTGCCGGTTCTGCCCGCATCCGCTGGGACTCAGACAGGAAGTGCGCTATGGAAACCGTGTTGCAGTACTGCACAGGTGATTGACAGACTTAATAGTCAATCATCCTTTCAATCTTCCAGCGAATCAGAAACATGCATTTGAATCAGCACCTATGTGCTGCTTCACATACAGTTTCTGTTCCACTTATACTGTGAATACAGATAACTGATGCCTCTATTTGCTTGCAGAAAATAATGAGAAGAAGCCTCAGAAGTCATACTTGATCCATGCTGGATTGGAGCCTCTGACCTTCACAAACATGTTCCCCAGCTGGGAGCACAGAGAGGACATTGCTGAAATCACAGAGAGGGTGAGACGCTGAACGTGTGTTGTATTTCTGTCAGTGATTAAACCCAAATTTGAACAACAGAAATCAAACTTTCGGTTTCGGCCAAAACCGTTTTGGAGGGCCAAAATCATTGAGCGCGTTTACATGCATGTTCTTAAGCCGATTATGCTTAATAAGCCGAAAACGCACTTGGTCATGTAAACGCGGTAACCCGTTTTCTTTTATCGGAGTAAGGTCATAAACGGCGTAAGCATAAACCGGTCGCAACAGGTAATTTTTGCCACTTATTCCGATTTCGCACGGCATGTAAACGCAATAACCCGCTTTCTGTCGGCTTCGATGACAGGAACGCATCGTTGGTGCAGATTTAAGCACATCTAGACCGAGCAAACGTTTGCAGTAAAGAAAGAAGGAAATATATCGCAAAAGCAGACTTTTTCATGACTCAGAAAATGATAAAAAATGTGTTCTCATCTCGTGCAGCAGGAGTAGAAGTGGTTCAGTCACAATGCTGCGTTTATAACTGCATGAGAGGATAATATATGAGCTGTAAGTTTCCCAACATGTTGCAAGTTGACATGTTGCAAGCTTAATTTAACATCACAACTGACAAATGTATGGAATACTCTGAGTCAGATACGCAAATGATTATATTTTGACATCACTACAGGGAAATAACCTGATTTATTAATGAAGTCATGTAAACGCAGCTTACTTGCGTTGTCAGGTTACTGGTGTGCATGTAAACGGGGAAAACTGGTTATTTTAATAAGCTGATATTTGTGAGTTATCAGCTTACTGGTGTGCATGTAAACGTGCTCATTGACTGAAACAGTGACTTTAATCAGTACATTTAAAGGGATAGTTCACCCAAAAATGAAAATTGTTATCATTTACTCGCCCTCAAGTTGTTCCAAACCAAACAGTTTGGACTACAATGACTACTGACTACAATGAGCAGGGGCGGATTTAGTGAATTGGGGGCCCCAGGCAAAATATAGGAATGGGGCCCTATACATTTGCACACATTTTCCTAGATCAACCTTGAGGTTCCATTTTGTTGTTTTCAGCGTAAGCCTGTGTGCAAAGGCTGTCTAATTCTAAACTTTAAGTTAGACGCATATCCAATCGTTTGCGGAGAGTGGAAGCTGAAGCGAGCTCTGCAGGAGATGGAGGCGCCAGCGCGATCACTTGCATTTTTTTTAACAGTGGAAACAACTTAAAATACACAGTCATTTTTGCTCATAAAACTAAGAGTAATACATCCTTCTAAACTGTAAAGGGTCTAGTTTTATTTGTGTGCACTCACAATATCAACAAAAC